GGGTTTGGAACGACACGAGGGTGAGTAATTAATGACAGAATTTTCATTTTTGGGTGAACTAACCCTTTAACTAGCGTGCTAGCGATTTCACCCCAGTGCTTCTCTGTGTCCTTATGGTTGTGGTACGTTGTCGACACATACAGACAGTTGTGTTATTGCAAAACTAGCCAACTCTCTAAATCGAGAGGAGACCTAACTATGCCCTATGCTAAGGACATCTTGCAAGGAGGCTCACAGAAAGCCTACAAACCACCAATGATGTCCTAGCAGAGCTCTGGGGAGTGGAGGCCTCAATAAAAATAACTGTTTGTCGTGAGAGGAGGCCTGACAACGCTTGCAGTAGGGCTGGGAAAATAAATCGATGCATCGCGATTCAGCATCGTTTCTGAGATTTTCCGAATGCATCGCGATTCTCTCTTGAATCGATTCTGAGCTTAGTTTTGAACAGCAGATGACACTGCATGCTTTAGAAACAGCCGTACTCTGCTTGTTTCCAAATCCTTACACACACTTGAACCTAGGCCTGTCGCAATAATCAATATATCGACTTATTGCGCAATATATGTACATGACCTCAATAATTTTTGGTGACTCAATATATCGCACATTACACACACATACACACACACACACACACACGTTTACTTAGCTATCTAAATGGGGACATTACATAGACTTCTGTTGTTTTTATATACCGATAGTTATACACTTTTTAACCTAAACCCACCCCTACCCCTAACCCTACCCCTCACAGAAAACTTTCTGCATTTTTACCATTTCAAAAGTAAAAAAAAACTTTGTTTACTTTATTAACAGTTTTACAAATTAGGTTTTTGCCGATTTTGTCAGGCTTTGCTCACTTATGGGTACAAATTTGTCCCCAAAATATGGTTAAAACATGTTCTGTTTCCATGTTTTATGGGGACATTCCATAGACGTAATGGTTTTTATACTGTACAAACTGTATGTGCTATTGCCCTACACCAACCCTACCCCTAAACCTACCCCTTACAGGAAACTTTGTGCATTTTTACTTTCTCAAAAAAACTTGTTTATCGAGTGAAAATCTGTGTTGAACGCCTCTCACACACATACTGGCGTGTAAAATCTAAGAATTTATTAGCCAATGGCTAATGTTAGACATTATTTAGTCGCCCAGAGTAAGATTTAGTCGCATATGCGAGTGATTTACTCGCAATGTAGAGGGTTGTAAATATTCTTAAGAATTAAAAGTTTGTTGTCATTTGAAAGTGTGTTGGCCTGATTATATATAAATGATTATATATTCAGTGGCATAAAATGGTCTTTAAAATGACAATAATATCGCTTATCGCAATTATTTCTGGGGCAATATATCGCACAACAAAAAGATGTTATCGTGACAGGCCTACTTGAACCTAAAATAATAATTCATAAAATTCGAAAATGATGAAGCGAATTACAAGAGTGTTCACAGTGGGCTGTTTACTTTAATCTTGCGTCATAAAAGCATTCTGAGCTGAGGTGAAATTAACGTTACATGACTCAGCCGAACGCACAAGCGCTCTTTAGCACTCTTCTTCATCAGCATTTGAGTGTGCGGATAAAAACTAGATTAAGAGCGCCATCTGCTGTTAAAATCTAAGCTCAGAATCGATTCCAGAGGAATCGCGATGCATTCTGAAAATCTCAGAATCGATCCACGAATCGATTCTGCATCGATTTATCGTCCAAGCCCTAGCTTGCAGTAGCCAGGGAGGCTCACAAAGGGTCTAACAACTTAGCAAACTGCCTGGCCGAGCTCTAGGAGTAGAGGTCTCAACATGACGACGTTCTAAGATGAGAGGGGACCTAAATACGTCCCATACTCAAGACATCCTGCAAGGAGGCTCACAGAGAGCCAAAAACTCATACTTGCTAGCCTATAGCTTTGCTCATAGGTAGGGTTGGGTACTGAAACCCGGTACCAATATAGCACCGGTACCTATGTAACCAGTATGTACTAGAACTGAATCTGAACGCAGATTTCGGTGCCTCATTTCAGTGCCATGCCTGAGCGATCGATTGAAATATTTGTCCTCTGGTTCTCCGAAAAG